TAAAAATATAGTTATTATTAAGTAAAATAATTTATTTGTTTAAGCTTTTATTAACTTTATTTTGGTTTTTTAAAAATAAATATTATATTAGATTTGTTATTATATATAAATTAAATTTTTTTTCTATATTACAGTAAATTTACTTTTTAATTTTAGATAGTTTCTAACAATTTAAATCTTTTTATAAAAATTTTGTAAATTAGCTTTAGTTAAATAATCTTTAATAAACTTTAATATAAAATATTTAACAAACTTTATCTTAAAAAAATTTAAAAATATAAATTAGGCTACACAAATTTAATATATTAGTTTTCATAATATAAAACTTTTAAACAAACTTAGCTGGCCAGTTTTTTTTTAAAATTTTATATATAAAAATTTATAAAATTTTTTAAAAAATTTTTTAAAACACCCATCTGGTTATTAAAACATACAAAAATTTTTTTTTTACAAATTTTCAAATTTTGACTTGGTCGAGTTATGAAAACTAATTAATTAAGTTTGTATAGTCTTATAAAAAAATTTATAAATTAAATAAGTATAAATTTTGCTATATTCTAAATATAATAATTAATTTATTAAATATTATATGATTGTTAGCTTGTTTTTATAATAATATTATCTAGTTTATTCTCTCTAATGATCCTTTATACCAAACTTATGATTAACAAAAACAAAAAACTTGGTAGAGAAAAGTAGAAAAGACAACTATATAAGTAATAAATTTTACAGAGATCAAAACATTTCTGTGTTTCTATTAGACCTCTCTATATATTTAATAAGCAAGTTAAAAGCATTTCTGTATAAGATAATTGACAAGAAAGTGATGCTTTTATACAGAAAATTTTAATAAAAACATTTGCTTCTGTTAATAAAGTAAAAAGATAGTTGGTCTAGAAAGAGAACAAGCAAATTTTTAATATACTTCTTATTGAAATTTAAAAATATCTGCAAACCAAAACCCTCTTTAATACTTTACTCTTTGCACTTTATAAAATTTACTAAAAAGTGAGAAATATAATATACTTCTATTAAAAAAGTAATAACAATGATTATTGTTAAAAAGAAAAGATATATATATATGTATATGTCTGCTTTAGAATAAATAATATTAATTGATTTTTTGCTATTCAGAAGTTTGTAAATATGACACTTTGATTTAGTTAGATATATGAGCCTCAAACTAGAAAACTATACTTAATTTTGCATTATAAGATTTTAGATAAGAATATAAGAGAAATTTTAAACTTGAATCCCTATACAAGAATAAATAATTTTGATAAAATTTTATATTCTAGATATAGATATAAATAGCTAGTATAAGGGTTTGACAACTTAGTAAAGTTAGTAAGTTGTCATACTCCAAGCGGCAAAACAAGAGTTCGAATTCTATTGATAATGAAATTCAAATTTTATAAAATGTATTATAGCAGACTGTGTGTAATCTGATAAAACATTGGATCTGTAGCTTTGGTTATATCAGCTTGTACTGGAAGACTATGAAACTATAGTGTGATACAAAAGTTATACAAAATCTAAGTAAAATAGTTGTATAAATCTAAAGGCTAGATATACAGAATCCTACTTAGCAAGTCCCAAGTAGAGAGGTAGTATAGATCTTTGATGGTACTATATAAAAGATAATCATTGGTGATTAGATATTGACAGTAAACTAGACAAGAACTAGGTGTTTGGCAAATACTAATATTAATCAGGCCATATGTATATAGAAGTGGCTCCATATAAATGAGGAAAAAGAATTTAATCAGAATACCAAGAGGATGCCTACTAGTCCTTCCCTGGGCTATCTGGATTGGGAGTTTGGGATGCTGTTGATGAAGAAAAGTTGGTGTTAATTCGTAAAGTGTGTACTGAGGTTTAAGTGAACTCTACAAGGACAGAAGTAGATAATGGTAGTGGTTTCAGCTTACAAGTACTTATTCTCAGACTCAGTGTAAGTTACTGAAGTCTAAGTTAGCCAGATTGTGGATACAGAAAGTTCTAGCAGGTTTATCTCAAAAACAAAAGTTTCCTATAGGTAGGTTTGTCTTAAAGTCCTAAGTCAGGATCTGAAAATAAGAGATACTAATATATTCTTGCTCAGTTAGAGAATTAATATATATAGCTGCAGAGGGTTTAAATAGATAATACAGTAGAGTTATAGGTACAGCAGCTAGTGTAGAACTTAGTAATAAGAGACTACTTAAATAGGTAACCAAAAGTTGTATATGTGGCTAGTTACATTCTCCAAATATGTGTACAGTATAGTGTATATCATACTGAAAAGTTAACAATAATCAAATAAAAGAATAGTGATTAAAAAGTCACCTTAAAACAAAAAAAATAAAAATAAATAGCTAGTATAGAATATAAATTAGTTTATTTAGTAGTACTATATAATTTTTACAATTTTGTATGAATATAATAGTGCTATTATTGTTTTCTTTTTCTTTGTTTTTGTTTTTTATTATCTGTATTATTTAATATTATGATACTTTCTTTTTTTTTTTATTCTTTGAATTTGTGTTTATATTTCATTTATGTAAAAAGAAAAGTTAATTTTAATAAAATGCATAGCTACTAGCTTGTAATTAATAAAAAAAAATTCTTAATAAGTTTTGGATCTATAAGAAGGCCAATAGCTACTAAGGCAAATCATATTTGAATAGTAACTGCTCTAAATAAGTTTTTTGTTTAGTTAGATTAAGTATACTATAGTTAGAGTTACTTGTAATTCTACATTAGTTTAATTTCAAATAAATAGCAACAGGATATAGCCAAATTAAAAAACTATTATCTAGTTATATATAAATTACTAGATTTTGTATAATTAAACTAAAACAAAAAATTAAAAAAAAAACAAAACCTTTTAATTACTCAAAATTTTATTATAAAAACTATACTTTAACTTTTAAACAAAAATAGATTTAGGTTTTAGATAAATCCAATATGAGCTCTGTCTAAGTTTCTAGTCTTAGTATTCTTTGGATATAGAGTTCAAATAATGTAATTTCTTTTTTGTAAAGAAGTTTAATTGAATTTTAATAAAGATAAAGGCATGGCCTCACCTTTAAAGATTAAAAAAAAAAAAAACTTTTAAACAAAAATTTTTTAATATCAAATTTTATATATAATTAAGCTTTTTTACTTTAATCTAAAACTAATTTCAACCTCTAGCCTTAAAAGTTATTTAATTTTTAACAGAAATTTTATAATGCCAAATAATATTACTAGGTAAAAAAATTAGTTATGAATGAATATTAATTCTCAGTTATTTACAAATTTTGTATAACTAAATATATATTTATTTTTATTCATGAATATTTATAGATACCTTTAATAAAAACATTGCACTTACGCGAGTTTAGAAAACACTATATTTTAGAAAATTTAATTTGGGGATACTACCATTTGCCACTGCATACAGTATCCCCAAAAATAATATTCTACCACATAAATTACCCCCTTTTCCACCAATGAGATTGCCGGATTCGTGAATAGTATCCGGTATTATTCAATTTTAAAAATAAAGTCCTTGAATAAGACCCCGGGTACTGTATGCAGTGGCAAGCGGTAAATAAAATTGTCCAGCTATATATAAATCCATATTTTGTTTCTAATCTAACTCGACGTAGATATATTATACGGATATTATACCTTATGAGTACGTATAAGTATTAAATTTTTTTTTCAAAAAAATTTTATTATAAAAATTTGCTTTTAGTTACAAAATTTTAAACTTTGTATTTTTAAATCTAATACTGTATTTAAAAAAAAAAACCAGCAAATTGGTCCGTTAAATTTTGGTGTTATTCGTTAGTATTTGTATATATTGCATGTAATTTTTAACCACAATTTTCGGATACAAGTCTTGTTGGGTCAGCTTTTATAAGTCTTCTGCTATTTATTATATCGTTTAGATAAGAAATTATAAAAATTGTGAAAATAAGATTACTTTTGCGTGATTTAATTACAAATATATATATGTACTGTATAAGCGGTGTTTTTAATCACTGCCTGACTAGCATACGAGAAAGGAAAATCCTAATCTATATTTTACATTAAAGATTTTGTTAAACTCGCGTGGTATCACCAGTGACTCTTTAATACATCTAAAATAGCACGGCACGAGATCGTCAAAATAAAAAAGGTGCGGTGGTTAATCCGGTAATGCCGGCCAACATTATAAGAAACATATAATACTAGCCAAGAGAACTCCAACCATGGAATTTATATTAATATCTTTTTTGTGTACCCTTACATTACACATTATTTTATTGTTTTTTTTTATACGTAAATGCAAGCATCTGATATTACACTTGATTTATTACACATTTGTGTTGAATAAAGCAAGCACACCAATACCACTGGCTAGAATCGTTTAGATGGTTTAAATTCTATGAAACAGTCTAATCAGTTAATTAATCGAACTGTTTGTAGTATAATCAGGTCCCGAACAATTTATTTAGAGGTTATATTGGAATTTTTCACATTTGAAAAGTGGTTATTGGTCTAAAGGTTATATAAATTTTGAGGCGGGTTATATACTGTATATTTAAAATTTGGATAACGAAAAAAGAATAAAAAAAAAAAATTTTTTTAATCGAATAAAAAGGTTAATTGGCTCTAATGAGTGGGCCTATCGCTATGTAATCGGTAACAATACCACCATGATCACGTGATGCCGGATATTATCACAATTTACATCACAATTTCATTTTTTAAATATATACTATCATTTATGAAAGAAGACATTCAAAGCTTGAAATAAATAGTTATTGAATTAAACCAGTAATGGCTTTTGCAGTTTTTTTTTTTTGCCAATATTTGGTGAAATGATGATCGGGCTGATAAAGCCAATCATTTTACTCACTATTGCATTGTTACACTAATGATTTTCAATTTTTTATAAATATGGCGCCAGTATAAATTTGTTCAATTTTTCTCAACTCAACTCTCTACCATTTCAACATCGAAACATCGAACTCACGCTATACCCAATGGAGTCAAAATCTTCGCTCGCGTCAGAACTTCCGTTAGATGTTCTCCGGATTATATTTATATACGTTCGTAAGGCTGGAAAAAATCCAAATACATATGATCGTGGTGCTCGCCGAAGCCTACACTCATGTCTTTTAGTTAACCGGCAATGGTGCCAGGCTGCCGTTCCCATCCTCTGGCGCAATTCTTTCTACTATTGTAGCCTTGGAAATTCCAGGTTGATAGATACCTATATTTCTTGTTTCAACTCCGATGAATGTAATGAGCTCACGTCCAAAGGTTTTGTCCTTAAAAGATCGTCGCGTTATCGACGTTCTACATTTCCGTACGCGGCAATGCTGAAACGATTAGATTATGATAGATTTTGTGGTTCAGTTGACCTTTGGTGCAGTTGTACTGATCAAGAGCTCTATAATGCTAGAGTATTACTAATGAGAGCATTACTTAGATTGTTTTTGACACGTTCGGTAATTTTATTGCATCTTGTACTTGGTGAATGGTTTGAAAAAACTACTACTGACTTGAAGTATCGAAGAATTATTGAAGACGAATTTCAAATTTTGCTTGAGCCGGTGCGTAAATTGAGAATTAAAGGAAATTTTGTTAAAGATCGTATTTTGAACGGCCTATCCGAACCATGCAAAAACTTGGTATGCATAAAGTTACTGTTTAACAATTTTGGTAATTGTGAAACCATACCGGCATTTTTAGTGTCGTACGTTACACGAACATCGAAGACAACGCTTATTTTTAAATTTTCGTAAATTTATTGAAGGATAAATTATTCGTCTATTTATCAATTTCCTCTCGAAATTGTAATTACAATGATGAATCAATTTCTTTACAAAAAATAATCGAATCCCAAACTCGACTCAAATCTCTCAAACTTGGCAACGTGCCATTATCTGCCCTGCTTCCTGCGTTACCCTCCCAATCTAAGTCCCTGCGCAGCATTAATTTATTGGACGTTACTTTTACTGATAACATACCATGGTCCGACCTTTTTGAATGTAAAAATCTTGAAAAAATTAAATTTCGTGATTGTATAGGATTTGGTAAGAACATGATCACTTCATTTACATCAGCAATTTTTCCGAAATTAAAATTACTTGCGATTGTCGGAGAATGTAGAACAGAAAACGGTGAGCTCTTAACAAAGGATGATTGTCATATGTTGGTGGAGTGGGGACTTGATCAAGGGGCTCTTGTTACAGTCGGCAATTGGGATTGTGTCGATGGATGGGTGAAATTCGGGCAGACTGTGCATGGTATGTGATAACGTTTGTTTCTTATTTATTTAATTTATTGTGTTATTCTAAATATTTATTATACAATAGAATTCGCATTTTGGTGGGAATATTCGGAAAGATTTAATAATATTTATCGACAATATTTGGATTGTTTATCCAAAAGAACCGAAGAATTTCAAGAATTTATGTAAATATTTTATGACCCTTATTAATGGCTTGGATCTAACGACGTTAAAACCAAACATTCGTTTGCATCGGTATTTAGTGTATGATTGTTTTGAAGACAGTGAATTATATTGTATTATCATAAACTTGGTAGTTTTATTTGAAATCATACACACTATTTTTGGACTAATTAATTTTCTGTAATTGAAATGACTAATTACTATGGTGGTTTTTTTTTTTTTTTTTTAAACAAAATTTTGGTTTTACTTTGTAGATGGATGTTGTTTCTAATCATTGTCATTTATCTTGCTCTTGGTCTCATAATTCTAAGAGCTATTGTAAAGCATCTGCATGTTTTTCAAAAATTTTAATAGTGAAAACCAAATCATTGTCTTTTTGTTCAAATGTATGACTATATTATGGCAGCATCATTTTTTGTTTAATAACTAGAATTGGTTTGTTTTGGTGGATAATCACAACAAAAGGTCGTAGTTTTACCGAGCCATCTTAATTGAAGATTTAAGAAGCCCATAAGAATATAACAAAGTACTGAGGATATGCTGTATTCAAATCCTGTAAGAGCCTTAAAGTTTTTGAAGTTTGAGAAAAAAATGATTAAAACTAAGCCATTTTGTTTTAAAGATTAATACTTAACTATATTGTGTATAATTAGAAAGTTTAAATAGATAATTACGAATAGATTATAAATATACGTAATAATTAATATAGAACATTAAAGCAAATTGCTAAATAAGCAATTATTAAAGTTATGTACGTAACTATATCGATATCTATACGTATATACTGTATATAGTTGTATTTATATAAGTATACGTATACGTATATACATGTATATATATAATACTATATATAGTTAAGAATTTTATACAAAGATAAATTTTAATATAAACCATTTTTATAATTCAAATTAGATTTACATAAAACCAAATTATATTTATATAAACTAGCTCTCAGGCCCGGGCGTTGCTCTGGGGGTAAGGTTTTAAATTTTTTAAATTTTTTTGGTTTTTTTTTTTATTTTTAGTTTTTAATTCAAGTCCGGGAATTGCCCCAACTTTTTATTTGAGCTTGCTTGAACTTGACATTAGATTACTTGAACCCGGATTAGATTCAAATAAACCCGATTTGGGTTCACTCGAACTCAGATTGGGGTTTACTTGAACTTGACTTTGGATTACTTGAACTCAAATTGGGTTCAAATAAACCCAGCTTGGGTTCACTTGAATCCGGATTGAGTTTAATGAACCTAGCTTGAGTTTACTTGAATCCAGATTGGGTTCAATAAACCTAGTTTGAGTTTACTTAAACTCAGAGTAGGTTCAAATAAATCTAACTTGGGTTTATTTATATTGGATTTAAATAAATCTAATTCAGGTTTATTTGAATCTAGATTAGGTTTAAATAAACCCAATTTAACTCTAAATTAAATTTAAATAAATCCAGATTAGATTTGTTTAAATTTAATTAATTGATGATTCACTAGTCAACTAGAGAGGATCTGCTAATTTTTATAAATAAATTTTACTATAGGTTTGAATATGGAGCACTCTTATCTAAAACTTTTTTTTTACTAAGTAAATCACTTTTTGGCTTTTAATAAAAGTTGTAGAGCTTATCAAGATGTATCTAATGATAGTAAGAACATTAAAATTGGTCTGGTGGTCTTGATAATGCTTTAAAAAATATTTCATTGACATATAAAATTTTTTTAAAAAAAATTAATTTTTATTAAATTTTATATGTTAATAAAATGTTTTTCAAGAACCACCAGGCTGATTTTAACATTCTTACCACCATTAGATGTGTCTTGATAAGCTCTATAACTTTTATTAGAATTTTAAGAGTGATTTACTTAGTAAGAAAAAAGTTTAAATTTAAGTACTTCACATTTTAGACCAATAGTAAAATTTACTTATAAAAATTTGCAGATTCTCTTTGGTTGACTGGCAAATTATCAATTAAGATTAAATAAATCTAAATTAGATTTAAATAAATTTAAATTAGTTTAAATTTCTCAATTTAGATTTAAATAAATCTAAATTAGATTTAAATAAATTTAAATTAGATTTAAATAAACTTAAATTAGATTTATTTAAATTTAAATTGGGTTTAAATAAATTTAAATTAGATTTTACTTAAATTTAAATTAAATTAAATTAAATTTAAATAAGTTAAATTTTTTTTACTTTGGCAATTGTATTATATATTTTATTAGTTATTTATATTGCTTATAAACAATATATTATTTTTAAAAACAATAGTGATATTTTATAGTTATTTTATAAATACTTTTAAATAATATATTATATTAGTAGCATGGTCTCATCTTTTAAAATTAACAAAAAAAAAATATTATATTAGTGAAAAACTCTTTCTGATGATCATTTAAATCAAGATCACACCAAACAGTTTGAAGATTCAAAGTCTTAAAAAGTCTAAAGATATTTGAGGTTCTTTATTAGTACTGTTGTTGATGAAGACTTATACATAAAATACTAAGGAATAGGTATATATAATTGGTTGGTGCTTTGAGTCAAGCTTTTCTTCTTGGTAGACTTTCTCGCACATTCGGCATTTAAACTAAAAGAATTATTTTAGTAATAGTAGTGGTGAAAAATTTCTGACTCAAGTATCTAAAGCTTTTTAGTTCTATAAAGAATAACTGAAAACACTTTATTGTCTTAAACTTGCAAATATAGTATTTTTTTCTTTTGATACTTTTGACCATAATTTTTGACAAAAGTGAGAAATTCAGTAAATCTCTTCAAAAGATTGGCAATATTTACTACTTCTATATCAAAAAACTTTATATGATGTTAAACTATACATGTAAAATAAATAGTGCTAGTGAATTTAGTAACTAGATGAATGTTTAGAAGAATATTTTACATACTGTGTTCGTACTGTGTTGTTGAAAACATACTATACAAACACATAATACAACGAACAGATCACGTGGAGGGTCTAAAATTTTTATACTTTTAAATGAAAATATAGATTTAACTAAAAGAGTAAAGCAAAGTGAAAAGAGTTATACAGGCATCCTCTAATTATCTGTATATAATTTTTAGCTTCTGACATAAGTTATAGTGCAATTTATTTTAGTTTTAAATTTCTTGTTAAGACTCTCTCACTTAATAGTAGATCGTTACTCTGTATAATTAGAAGTTTTATCTGATTATCAGGTTTTTTCTTTTTAGTGATAATTTCTTTTAGGTTTTAGTTTAACTTTTATATTTTTTTAATATTAGTATCTATTTTCTTTGATGTATTAGTTTTTATTATATGTCTCTTTTTTTATTCTCTTTTATATTTTTTTTTTCTTTTTTCCTTTTCTATGAAAAAGTGTTATCAGTTTGGCAACATTCTATTGTAAAGCAGGAATCTTGATGGGGTGATGCAACAGTTAGCTGAGAAATCAGAAGAAAATAAGTTTAGAGTAAGTTCTCAATCTCTGAAAGAAGCTAATTGTGTACCAGACAGGTTATATTTGAACAAAACACAGCGATTTAATGGTTCGTCCTAACTGCAAATGATTGTTTCAGTACCTGCGAGGTGTGCTATGGATGAGTTTATCTTTTGGTTAGAATATTATAGATTTAGATTTCTTCATATATCAATACAAGAATGAAAGTCTGTTTCTATAATAAAATAAACAAGATTTTCAAAGAAAAAAAATATCATATTTGTTAAATAAATCAAAAACTAGAATTAAAATATATATTTTTTTTAGTTTTGATATCCTGTTGTTATCTCACATAATCTAGCTAATTATTTATACTATATTTTCACATAATAACATGCAGGTGTGTAATTTCAAACTTTGGCCTAAATTAAGCTTAATTCGGGCCAAAATTCAAAATAACGCTTATAGGCATTATTACAGTATATACTTACAGTACTAGTAAATATAATTACTATATATGTCCAAAAATAAGCTATCATTTTTGGGCAAAAAGTTATACAAAAATTTGCAGATAATTTATTTTTAAATAAAAATGATTTTTGCTAATTGCAAAAAATATTATTAAATAAATTGATTATGCTTATTAAGTGAAAATTGTTTAGGAGATAAAATTATATAAGGTAAGTATGGGTATTATGACGCAGAACCAATTATGACGCACACGTGATATTTCGTGACCCAGTGATCAGAATCGGATGATTTTACCACCATTCGATTCGTCTTGACGAGACGAATCGAATGGTGTTAAAATCATCCGATTCTGATTACTGGGTCACGAGATATAATTATTAAAATAAAATGAACAAATTTTTTATTTATAAGGCTTAATAAGAACCAATCGTAACATGT